AAAAACCTTAAAAATTAATTTTGTTTCATTAAAGGTTTTATGTATATGTTCATGAAATAACTCCTCTGTTGGAACAAGAAAATTGAAAGAGAAAAATAACAAATCGTTTTATTTTATGATTTTATTTTATCTACTAATATTCTATATTTTTAAATGAAAAAAAAATAAAAATAAAAACCTGAGTGTAAAAATTAAAACGTGTAAGACTTGTAGTGACTAGTTTATTGTAGACTTGTAGTGTAGACATGTATATGTTAATCAGTTAATGTTACATAACTTACATTTAATTTTAAATAAATAATTTTTTTTTTACAGCGGGCTGGCCCGCGGCGCGCTCGGGCCAGTCCGTTTAGGCCCGCTCTTTGGCGGGCTTATAATATACTAACCCAACCCGCCTCTAGGCGGGGCGGGAGGCCCGTTTTGACATCTCTATAGAGCACCAACCATCAACCAAGAAAGGAAAAACCTCATTGCTCTCACCGTTCTTTAGAAAACGAGATCGTTAAACTAGTGAAAGCACATCAAATACGGTGCAAAATGAACACAACAAATATTATTATGTAAAAGCTTGTCGAGCGCAACTTCAATGAATATTTGAAGAAGAAATATTATGTGATTTTTATGGAAAAGAGTTTTTAAAATTTTAGCTCAGTCTACTCTTAATTTCTGAATCCGTCCTGTCTCCTATTACCTCGTCCTCTAATAGGCCGCCACCACCGACATCGCCAGTGCCTCTATCCGGACTGGCGCAACGCCCTCGAGAATCCCTTCCTCTGGCTCGGCAACCTCCACCGGCCACACTTCATGAAACCCTAGAACAAAAAAAAAGATTGAGCAAATTTCTTGATTTTTTTTTAGTTGAGGCCTTCTTCTTCTCTCTGTCACTACTCCTCTTCCGAAATCTACGCCGTCGACCGATTTCTATTATCTCTATTGTCGCTCATCTTCTAGTTCTTACAATGGATCGAACACAAATACATGACTCTCTTGGAAACAAATTGCAAAATAAAGGAAATTAAAATATAATTAGAAAAAAGGCATCTTCATTCTGTGGATGTGATGAACATATAATATTGAGTGGAAAGAAATTAAAAAAAAAAAAGAAAAAAGAAAAAAGAGGGCAGTATCACTACCGTGTACCCTGGCACACCTAGCTAGGTGTGCCAGGGCACATTTGCACGCGCCCCCTTACTCCCCAAAATTCCCCAATACTAGAGAAATTTGGAGAGTGTAGTTCACATCCCCAATTTTCTTTTTTAATTGAAAATGGGACATATTACATAAATTAAAATATCATTAATTATTTATATTAAAAAAATAAAATAAAAATACCAAAATTCATAATTTTTCATTATCTATAAATAGAGACCACATTTGATTGGTTTTTGAACACAACTAATTTTTCGTTTTTTCATAATTTTTCATAATTTTTCGTAATTATTTTATTATACTGACATATAATGAACATGTTACATAATAAAATGAATATGTTTTCAAATATGATGAACATGTTACAGATTGTAGATTGAAACAATACATATTCATCTTATTTTGTAACATGTTTACTTTATTGTGTATGTAACATGTTCATCTTATTCTATAACATGTTCATTTAATAATGTAACATGTTCATCTTATTATTTAATATGTTCATTTTATTACGTAACATGTTCACTTTATTGTGTATGTAACATGTTCATCTTATTATATAACATGTTCATTTTATTATGTAACATGTTCATCTTATTCTATAACATGTTCATTTTATTTATGTAACATGTTCACCTTATTGTGCATGTAACATGTTCATCTTATTCTATAACATGTTCAGTATATTATGTAACATGTTCATCTTATTCTATAACATGTTATTTTATTATGTAACACGTTCATCTTATTTTAGAACATGTCCATCTAAATTTCATTTGTGAAAATGTAATATTTTCATCTTATTCTATGACATGTTCATCTTACTCTATAACATGTTCATCTTACTATGTAACATATTCATCTAATTATAGATTTATGTCATAATCTTCCAATAAGATAAATTAATTGTAAAAAATGATAAATTAATTGTGTTTAAAAAAATATCAAATGTGGTCTCTATTTGTAGAGAATGAAAAATTATGAATTTTGGTATTTTGATTTTTATTTTTTGATACAAAATATGAATGATAATTTAATTTATATAATATGATATATGAATTTCATTGCCCAATAGAATTGAGACACATGTCCCATTTAAAAAAAAAAAAAAATTACCTACTTACCCCACGCACTTTTGGAGAAGGTGTATTTCATTAAAGGCCCTGACACACCTAGCAAGGTGTGCCAGGGCACACCTAAGTATTTGCGAAAAGAGGGAATGGAGAAAATTTGAACTAGGTATATAGAAGAGGAAAGGATGACATGAGTAATTTTAGCAACAAGAGAGGTTAAGATCGTCAACAATTTTTACTTTAAGGGACACATTTGTAATTTTTGTTTATAATCATACCTCTTCAGGACCCCGACCAAGATCAGTTAGTCTCGCTCTCCCACGATGTTAACACTGTTTATCGCGGGTTTTATCCTACCGTGTGGGCCTTATCATATCGTGCAGGCCAGAATCGTGGAAACAAACATGAGATTAGGGGTGGATTGAAGGCGTAATCCCGTCTTATCTAAGCTAACAAACGTGCTCTTCGTAAATTATTGACCAGACCAAAACCACAACCATAAAAAATTAAAAATAAAATAAAATAAAATAAATAATACACTAATAAAAAAAAAAAAAAAACAATACAAATTTTGATTCTCTTTCTCAATGGGAGTGTGAAACAGCACACTACAATACAAACCGCATGTCACGGGTTGCGTTACATGACAAAAAACCACTTAACACACACTCACACACTATACAAGACAAAAAGACCATTTTGCCCCCCTTCACACTGCAAAAAAACCCTCTTGAGCCTTACATTCTCTCTGTGTGACCCAACCAACCATTTTTTTTTTAGCTGATCCAAATCAGAGCTTCTCTATCATCATCAATGGCATTGAATTTATCATCAAAATCCCCAATCATTCTCTTGGTTTTCACAATCTCTGCAGTTATTTCCACTCATGCCCTTGACATTGGCCTCCATGCTCATGCTGGCCTTGACCTGGTAACAATCTAAATATCTCATAATCATTTCAAAATTTTCTTGTTGCCGCTAACCGTCAGACGAGTCGACCCGTCATGCTTTTTTT